GCCGCCCACATTCGCTTGCTAAAATGTATACTTGCACAGATTTGTTATTTAGAATATACTTTTCGATAGAGCAGTCTTATACTAAAAGGAGATTGTAACTTTTGCCTGTTTTTCATGTATCTAAGTGATAATGTCAGAGTCCAAACTTTTAAATTTAATTAAAAGCTTACTAATAAATATTGTTCTAGTTGTACCTAATTTATAGTAATAAAAATTCTATGTAGATTTCATAATGGTCAGAATTTCATGCTTATACGGTTTATATTTACGTTTATTACGATCCCAAAGGCACCCACTATCTGTCCTATAAATCAAGAAAGCATCCGGGTTCGTCGTGCGATCCAGCTTGTACACCTTTGTAGTAGTAGGTAGAAACCTAGGTATCCTAACGTTGTTCCTAGGTCGACGACCGCCTAGAGCCTCGGAGCAGTAGATTCACAGGATACGATAAATTTCAATAGTACATTGACTGCACGTACTGCACTACCTTGTTTTCTTGTAGACAGCATGAAATTCGATATTCTGATACGTGAAATTTCCTTATGTAAATAGTATTTTTAGGCCATCGATGCCTTACCAACACTTGCATCTTGATTAAAACAATGTGAAAATTATTTAAAATTTATTTCCAATAGCAATTATTAGGTATATATATCAATCTATACAGAATTTACGTGTTCACATCTGTTAATGTCATAAAATGCAATGATAACTATATACTTGTGTCCAATAAGACTTAATGGCAGTTTATTGTATATAAAAGATAATTTCTTTCTTAATACTTTTTTAGATTTACGCGAATACTTGACATTTTAAATAAAACTAGCTTTTCGGATTTTTTCGCGAATTTATTTTGATTTTTGGTTCCCGACGTTTCGAATGCTTTACAGCAATCATGGTCACGGGAAAGACTGAGGTGTTAGATGTTTCTAAGGTATTATATAGTTGTTACAGACAGCCTACCCACAAATAACAAAATGAATTCAAAAAATTAAAAAATGGCATCAAAGTACCTTACAATATTTTTAACTTTTAAAAATGTTTAAAGGTAGGGACGAACCCGAGCGAAGCGAGGGCGAGTCGCTAGTGGTCAATAAAATTAGTAATAAATTAAAAGGCTTAAAACTGATAGAAAATATTTTTAGTATAATGCTTATTACAATATTCAAAATTTTCAGCTTCATAAGACGTTGAAATAAGAAAATGCATTTGTGTATACTGTATCTGTATGTGCAAATAGAATCGTTCAAATGAGCATTAGACAAAAAGTAAATCGCTTCAACTGTGAAGAGTGAAGGAAGGAATAAAATAGTCATGCTTCATCAGAATAATGGTCGTTAGTCACACAGTTATTACATTTAAATGCTTTTATAATAAAAGTAAGAAATAGACGCAAATGACATAAATGTGAGCCTATTATGCTAAGTGCGGTTACTGAGTTACTGCATATCTGAGTAATAAGTTATCTTTTTTCGCGCCACCAGCGCCTGCAAATTATTTAAGTAGATATTTTATATATTGTGGCAATAACGTTTTATAGTATTGCTATTGTATGTAATATAACATTAATTTTAGCTAGATTCAAATGTGGCTTGCGCAGGACTTTTACGATCTTTACGATATTTATTCGTAGTCGATTCTAATACCTAACATTGCGATCAATTTCTACTAGAATGTAGTTTTTTTTATTTCAATAGCTCAGTACTGTATTATATTTCTTAGAAATAGTGATGAAGAAATTAATGGTAATGTGCAACTTAAAGAATACTTACATAAATAATCCTTGTGAGTTTGAAATGTACATTTTGTATGTACATAGTATTTACCTATTTTTACTGGGAATTTTAATTATAATAATAGCTACAATTACCGATTAAGATTTCGATAAATAAAATGTACTTATAAAATTTCAAAAAAATATGGAAGATTTCGGTAAAATTTAGTCTTAATAAGAATCTTGTGTTTTATTGTTGTCAACTTAAAACGACGGTTTATACCGTTTCCCTTGCTCATGTCCTTATATCAACATTTTTAATCGGACGCTACGGTCACTTTGCCTCTCAAATGTCATCATACATTTAAAATGAAATACTGTAGAGATAAGAGATATGAGAATGCTAATATGTCATATGTTAGGTACATACTTCCGATGGATAATATAAAATATTCTTTACAATATTTTTAACATTTACTATCATTTAATCACAATATTTATTTTGTTTTGTATGTCTGTACTTACATTACGTACCTACGTTGATAAGTATATTCTGTCATCTGTCTGTCAATATGTCCAATGTCCATTATGTACAAAGACAATTTCTATTTTAGTATTATCAGAGTTTTTCTTCAGCATCAAGTATGCAGATGATTAATATCTACAAAACAAAAATTAGCTTACTACTACTTTTAAATATAAAAAAAAATTGAAATGCTTCTTCATTTACAAGTAATATTTTAAGGTTTATTTGGTAGTTAATAATAAGTGGGATAGACAGTTTTTTTATTTATTTTTACTTTATTTTTAGTTTTTATTTATTTTAGGGAAACAAACAGTATTACAGAGCATACAACTTAGGTAAAATAAAATGAAGTATAATTAATTAATTACTTAATGAAATATAATTTTTATGAACTCAAGATTAATAATTGTTTTTAACTTTTCTTAACTGATTTTGAAAAAGCTTATCATGCTGATTGCTCACATTCTTAGAACGTACGAACGTACATACTACTTAAAACGTAGGGGATGGGGCGAGAGAGAGAGGCGGTTTTAATTATTAAAATAAGAAAAAAACTATGTATATTACCTATATTTAATTATTAGATATGGATAAATAAATAAAATCTTTTCTGTTAATATTATTTACAAAAGAGATTTATTCAGTTAAAAGTAATAAAAATCATATCCATTTCATTTGTCCGGGAAAATGTTAAGCAATTTTAATATCGTTCATAAAACAAGCGGAACTACTTAATAAATCCTTTTATTTATAATTCTTAATTGCAGTTTTACTACTTGAAATATTATCAATTCAGCGGTCAGTATGTAATTGTACTTTTAAACAGTCAATTCACGGCTCTAAACAAACGCCGCAAATTGAATGCGAGTAGCAATTGAGGTCCAATTACAATTTTATCGTTTATCTGCAGTGAATGTTTCATTTTCGCGTGCATTGCAATAAAATCATCGCATTGTATGGGTTACCCGGTAATTGATTAATGTTGGATCGATACGGCGTTATCGCGGATCGGAGTACGCACAATGTCCAATAAAGAAGGCGATGTTATCAGATGCTGTAAATGAATCAGTGCAGCTGAGGATGCATCTCGAACTTAAGACGCGGCTTATTTATGCGCTACATTTGCGTATTGGAGGAGGCGAATTTTAAAATGTAGCGCCCATTTAGAAGCATGACATGTCGTTTAACAGTCTGCTTTTATTTACGAAACCGTTGCATCCTTATTTTCATTTGTTTAATAAATATTAACACTTTTGTGGTTATGTTTTAAAACTATTATTATTTATATCTTTATTAAAAAAACACTTGCAGTCTAAAATACAATCTGCAAACTACAATAATTTTTTTGGCATAGCTTTTAATGGCGTGTTATTTGGATAAAAGACAGGACGTAGTTTTCTTTTTGCTCATGTGAAGTGCGACCTAAACTATACAGTCGTTCATTGTATAAATAAAGATTACTACATGCAAACTATCACGTTAAGCCAGTATAACTATAACGTTAGCTAAGCGTTATAAGTTTTCGACTTTTAAATATCTTTAAAGTCAAAATCGTCCATATATTATTTAAATAGTCAAAGTTAATGTTGGTGAATATGTAAAATCTGTTTTGCTATAAGACTTTTGCTATAAAACTATTTACAACTTCAAATATCAGTTATGGGATCGTTGCAATGAAGTTTTCTATCTAAAGGTGCGTAAAAAGCTATCCAGAGGCAAGGTAAGAGTTGTTTATATATGACATTGAGGGGATATAATCGACCTATTGAATGATAATTCGGATTTCTACTCATAAAATGCATATAATACAGTTTCCTGTCACAATTATGAAATAAGTTATTGAAGTAATTGAATATGGATTATGATAGAAAAAACATTTGTATAAACTTTACACTTGTATCTACTTAAATTCGGTTATCTCATCGAAGACAGTATATATCTACTCTATAGGAATACGCTTGGGAAACCGAGTGAAGCGGGTTCAAATCCCGGGTCTCGCACCTCTGATATTTTCATGTGCGAATCATTTCTAACTGATTACCACTTGCCTTACGGTGAAAGAAAACATCGTGAGCCTAACCTAGCAAGTTTTCGAAAGACATGTGAAGTCCGCCAACCCGCACTTGGCCAGCGTGGTGGAGTATGGCCTGATCCCCCTCGTATTGAAGGGAGGTCCATGGCCTGCAGTGGGACGTTAAAAAGAGTTGAATACAAAGGAATATCGCATATCTGATTAGAATTAAGTGATATTTTGTTAAATATTTAGACCGATATTTCAAAAGTTCTGGAGTGCTATCTTGAAGTATTCAAATTTAATGCTTCTTCTCGATTTAAAAGTCAATGGAAAAGTAATAGTGTCAATAAATTCTTGTGTCGTACTTATTGAAATATGTTCCATAAATTGATTCAATTTTCGTATTATAGAAGAGGCTACCATTTCAACGCAATATCTTAGCATACATGCTGTAAAAATGCCATAAATCAAATATTAATATCGATATACGTTCCAACGTACCCACTTTCATTTAATTTCTCGTACAACTTTGGATCGCTTTCGATCATTCATCATCGTTCAATAGCATTAAACTTTGTTTTGTTTTTGTAAAGAGGATGAGACTTGTCTTCTTAATTGGTTTATGCTCAGTAATTTTTGTGAAGTATTTGTTGTTTTATCTTCGAACAGAAAGTTTATTGCTTAATATAGTTTGGAGTCCAATTAAGCCTTACTAAAGGAACAAGAAATGAAAGATTAACATTTTATAAATTATTTAATTTTGAGCAAAGAGTGATTGCTATGGCTTGTATGAGAGGTTTCTTCAGGCGCACCGCTGAGCGATCGATACGTGCTCGTCTCGCATACAATTCGCATTCGTCCATTATTGTTAAGTTGCAAGACTCCTAGAAAAATTTTGCAATTGAGATTATAAAGTTTATTTTATCTATTTTCTACGAGAAATCATTGTCATTGAGAAAAAATATAGGTAGTGGTAAGAATTCAACAGTTGGTAAGAAAAATAAATATGATTAAACAATAATACTTTCTTAGATTTACGCGAATGTTTGACATTTTGACGTTTCGAATGCTTTACAGCATCCATGGTCACGGGAGAGACTGAGGTGTTACATGTCTTAAAGATATAGTTGTTACAGACAGCCTACCCACAATTAACAAAATGAAAATTGCACCAATTACATTACAATATTTTTAACTTTAAACATTTTTATAATTTTTATTATAATTGAATATGGAAAATTATTTATTTAATTTTTGCTATTAATTTTATAATTATTACAATTTTAAAAATATTAATTAGTAATCTATATTTAGTGTTGCCATTATTATATTTATAACCATAAATAAAAAATATAAAAATATAGTATTAATTATTAAAGCCATATAATTGTTCTATGTGTAATTTAAAAAGTTAAAATTAATTACGGATAATCATTTTAATTTAGTTTGCTATTATTTAAAAACAACACTATTAATATATACTTTTACAAATGAAAAATATTAATCTGATAAGCTGTCATTTTGATCACAATACACAATATAAACAGTAGGTAATAAGCCTAACAACATGAATCTGCTTCTTGAGCATGCCGGGATCTCCACGAATTTGTTAAATTATTGTAATCCTTCTGTCAGGGCTTTGTATTTAAATAGCTCTTGCGCGTTTCCTCACGACTTCGTGTTGCATGAATTTAGATTCCCTATTTAAATCAAGCAAGCAAGCAAACCAAGCTTGTGCAATATTATAGAAATATTACAATTTCAGAGCTCCGTTTATATAATAAAAATGACGCATTTTTTTTTGTCTGAATCTTTGTCTCATCCTACATTAATTCATAGACTAAAAGGGATGCCGAGAGTAAATCAATGAACCTAAACGTTATTTTATTGAAACAATTTAGTAAATAAAAAAATAATCATGTGGGTTACCAGTAAGGACTTGTTATCAAGAAGATATACATATAAGGATATTTTTTTAAAATTTTGCTTAGTTTATTAGATAATAAAGGTAATGAATTTAATTTCCATAATGTGAAACAAGAAGTAAGAAAATAATAATATTTTAAATTAGTTCAAAATATTAAAGCTTTTATATTAAACATAAGACAGTAGATATTTTTAATGACTTAAAAATGAATGTATGTATATAATTGTGATTTTTTACCTTGTAATGATTGAGTTGTACTTCGTTAAAGGGCGCTGACCATCCCGTGGTGCCCGCTGTTCCGAGACTAGCCAATGGATAATGATTAAAAGCTGTCAGTACTCTTTTTGTGAGCATAAAACTTTTGCTATAATGTCCTACAGGGCTAATAAGTGCTGAGCTAATTATATGACTTGCTAATTTAGGCACAGGTAGTGACACGCCACATACAGGGCTATAGTAACGAACTCGACCATCATTGTTATTATTTAGTAAATTCTTAAAACTATTTGTATCATCTATTAATTCTATATTTTTTAAAACTAAATTTTCATTATCATCAATTCGAACATCATCTCGTTTGACATAAATTTCTCTCTTGTTTGTTTGAATGTTTGAATAATTATAATTATATACACCCTGCAAAAATTCGAAGAAAAAGACATTCCGAACTAAAATTGATGAGTATTGTTCTGGGTTCCAGCCTTGATGCATTAACCGTGTTAAGAGTCCAGACCAAGTCCTAGATATTTTTGGTAATAGTATCTCGTCTATATCTAGCGGCACAATATATTTTGATTCATCAATATTTCTGTATAAGCAATCATTATATGTTATTATATGATCTCTTCTCCTTTGCCATAACTTCCTTTCTAACTTACCCTTAATAGGAACTTGAAATAATCGAACATAGCCTTGAGAGCGATAATAAAGCAATACGTCTTCATTGTCCTTATTTAGACTATCCATATAAATATCAATCATATCTGCACCGAGTAATTTATTTGTTTCGATCCATTCAATTAAATTGGTCGTTATGTCTTTTTTAAAATTTAAATCTTTAACGCATATCGTAAATGTCCTATCATATTTCTGACTTGACTTCGAACGTTGCAGGTAGAATCCATTGGAAGGGTCATCACAAGGCTGAGTAACAACAGATATTAGCGATGGTCCGTTCAAGGGTTCCGTCAAGGGGCAAGAAAGAAGAATTGGTGTCTCCACATTCTTAGTACTTTTGTCCCATTCATGCCACCATATTTCGAGTGGCTTAGCAGCTACCACTTCGACGGAATACTCATTAGGGTTTATAGAGCGTGTTTGACAAAATAATTGCTCTAATGATGATAAATTGCGACCTGTGAACAAAAGATGACGTTATATTAAATAATAAGTGAATTAGACGCTTCAATCGAGTAAAAAGATGATGATGTGAAATTATTTTATAGTTATTTGTTCGAGCGGTTTCCTAGTGATAGAGGCGGTTGTTGCCCGGGACTGTCATTACAACGGTGCCTAGATTGCAGGTTGTCTTTATCGGGCAGGATAACTCTTCCTACATGCTTGCAAAACTCCAGTTATCCAAGCTGTAAGTATATGTTATAATATAAATCTCTACATATAGTAAAACTGCAACGGTAATGGATCACATCGATACAAATTCTAATTATTGCCTGTTTACGTGTTTTTAAGTATTTGAGTAAAATTTTACAAATTACCAGTTTCCAAGAATGTTTGTTATGAACTTGTTGTAATTGACGTGTTTTATAGTTCTGTAGGGTTAGATTCTATTTTAAGACGTACATATTTGAATGAAGTTAGGCATTTAGATAAAGTTGTAAGGTAAGCATAGGCTAAAAGCACATCTTGAACTTCAATTTATCCTAAGTTATCTACTCTGTGTAAATAATTCAACTGTCCAAATATAAGAAGTTCTATTTTTAACACCTCTAGGTAAATTTCTAAGAAATGAATTATAAGATTTATAAGAAATCTATTGTTAACTGACACACCGGCGTGTCCGCGGTCGTGGAGGGATTATATAGCAAACACTTTTATAGCATTAAAAAAAAAAAATTTTTGTGTTTAAAATTCAGAAAAAAATCAGGATTATCTGCAGAACTTGGCACCTAATTAGATCTCAATTCTTTTGTCGGTAAAATTGACAACCACACTTATTCTTAATATTGAACTTGGCTCCCATTTTCACATTTATGTTTTTGATGGGATACTATTATTATAAAGAGGTAAAGTTTGTGAATTTGTGAGGTTGTAGGAGGTAAACTCTGGATCTACTGAACCGATTCATATTTATTATGAAATTTGACAAGAAGATATTTTGAGAGCCTGGGAAGGACATAGGATTCTTTTTATCCCGGAAATCATCCCTTAAGGGGATGAAAATGGTGCAGAAAGTTTGTATGGGGAATCAACCTATGCGTTTAAACAAATGATTATGTCAATTTAGTTAAAACAAGTCTGGTGTGGATAAAATGTCGGTAATGTAATTAAATATTTTATTTAAAAATTTAATTTACATTTAATACTAAGATATTAATTTATTTAATATCATAAACATTTCAAAAAGCGACTAGGACCTGGATCGTGGTGTTTTAATCCGACATCACTACAATATAGGCGAGGCGTTTATCTCTTGGAAGGAATTTACACGACGCGAGCGACCGACGCAGGTGACAAATGAGAGTGAACTTATCTCTCGTGCTCTCTCATATTGTGATGCTGCACGACCACTCACCCACTTTTGTTTTTCCTGCCACTGTACCCCGTAAAGGAACAAAAGGAATTGCGTGTTGTTTCTAAAATTGCTATAAATATTTTGTGTACTTTTGTAATTGAAACTAGATTTAGGACAATTTAATAATTTTTATATTACAGCGCGAGTGTGACGAAAAATTGTTATAAGTTTTCAAACATGTTTATTGTTTAATATATTATTGATAGTGATACCAATAATATATTATTATACTTTAAAGTTAAGCGTTGATTGCTTTAAATAAAATAAATATGTTTGGACACTAGCACATAGCACCACCTAGTTCCATGCTAAGCTACGACCCTTGTGTTATGGATAGGTAGCAGGTACTTATACACATATAACTTATACATATATAACTTTACATATATACATATCATAAATATAAACACCCATGACTGAAGTACAAACATTCGTGCTCATTAGACAAATGAATGCCCCCAGCGGGACTCGAACCCGCGACCGTTGGAACAGCAAGTACGGTCACTACAAACTGAGCCAAACGTGTCGTCAAAATGAAAAATTGCAATAAAGTAAAAATACTTCTCATGAATATTTGAATGTAAATGAATGTCTCTTGTAGTTCTTAAAGCGAATTTTCTGTAAGGTGTTAATATATGACCTGTGTAAGTGGTCTTGACAATTATTTTAATTGCTTTAAACATGTATTGCTAACTTGCTGATTATCTTAATTATTTAATCTCACTCTTCGGGATACGCACTCTTTGATTTTTACCGCAACATTATAAGATCAATTAAAGAATTTGATATTTTTGTAATTTTTCATACTATTTCTATATTTAGTTATTTGATAAAGATCTTGATAAACTCTTCTAAGGTTCGTCTAAGGTTATGTGAGTTCCAAGATAATGGTTATTATTTAATAAAAAATATATTAAATTTACTTTATTATTGAAACCAATTCGGAAAGTTCTTTTGGCGTTTTAATAAATTAACTTTCAAATTAAGTTTGATTTAAGCAACTGAAAGGGTTTCTTTAAGAAACTTTTGAAGGTTGGGCTCATTTGAGTGATTGATAGACATTCCTAAAATTTTACTACTTAGACCAAATTGAAACTTATTGCTATTATATTAATTTATATTATTTATATTAATTTATCTTTATTATTCTATTTATCTATATTAATATCTTTTTTGCAAGACAGCTGATTGATAAATTATATCGATAACCAATCCATTATTGTCAACTTCTAAACGTGATTTGTGTATATGTAAAATATAACTGCTTTATAAATCAAGATCATAAAGAAATATTCAACATTGGTATTAGAAATATGTATAAATTTATTGTACGACAAAAATCGCATTTCATAAAAATGCCTCAGTCTTGAGAACTACCGAAAGAAACTCAGCAGGGCTTATAGATTTTTTAATTTTTAAATATTACCAAAAAATATACAACAGTTATCTAAAATTGAAACAGTCTATAAACGATCAATTTATTCTCACGGTGTGATTTTCTGTATAAAATTATTTGTATTAATACTTAGCCCCTTGCTTTAAAATATTCGGTAAGACAAAATTTTATTAACAAAAATTTTATAGTAAAATTTTATATAAATTCCGTGGACTCTACAGGTTTTCAGTTGAGGATATACATTAAAGTATCAAAATACAAACTTCCACATCAAAATATCAAAAAAATATGTACAGCTACTATATCTACTAAGTGCTTTATTTACTTGTGCAATAGTTTTCAATATACAACGACAGCTACTTACAATTAAACAATATCGTTATTAACCAACCAGCTACGTGTTTATAACTAAATGTGAATCATTTAATCGATTGTGACTTTATTATTTCTAATTTTACGTAAAGAATCTCGTATATATAATAAATTAAAAATACTATCATCGGAAATTCAAAAAGTAAATCAAATATTAAACTTATTGTATTATTTATTACTTGTATAATATTCAACTTATAAATTACTAGCAACTCACCCTCGCTTCGCTCGGGTCGTCCCTAGCTTGCTTCCCAATACAAACTTTAATCTCCACTTTCACCCCCTTAAAGGGTGATTTCCGGGATAAAAAGTATCTTATGTCCTTCCCAGGGTCTCAAACTATCTTTTTATCAAATTTCATCTAAATCGATTCAGTAGATCCAGAGATTACACTCTACAACGTCACAAACTCACAATCTCACAACCTCACAAACTTGAGAATTGAAAAGTTCTCAAAAAATTCTACTATTCATTTTAGTTTAAACTTATAACCTTATTATAATCCTCATTAAGCTTAATTATATTTAGCATACAATTTCATATCAAGTCTAACATACTATGAAAGAATCGTAGTATATGTATACTAGCGGATCACCCTCGCTTTCTCGGGTTGGCCTCGAGAATAACAAAAACAAATCTATCCCACGGGAAAACCCTTTTGCGGGATAAAAAGTGCCAAATTTCATCCAGATCCGTTCAGCCGTTCTGGCGTGATTGAGTTACAAAAATCCAAACATCCATCTAAACTTTCACATTTATAATATTAGTAAGATTATATTGAACGATAAAAAATAAAAAAATCTATTTACAGATTTGAATGCAATCAGTGAAATCATTTGAAAGTTGTAAATTAAAAAAATAATATAAATTACATAAGTAACAATACGAACAACAAAGATAGTGGCTTTTAGGTTGCTTGATTTTGGATAATTAATGTTTATAGGTAAACAAAGTGTATTAAAATCTAAATATTTAGGCATATTCATATGTAATGTTATACTACATTTTTATTTAAGCTTTTTTTAAGCCATCGTTTCTTATTACTTATTTTGCTTTCTCCCGTATAAGAAGAGCAAAATAAAAAAATTGATTCCACTTATTATGTGATCAATTTGCAGTTTTTATATCGGACAGCTACTAATTATTGGGCGCAATTATAAAATATTTTCGTCCCCGCCGCCAGCTGGTTGATAAAACTGTACCAGCGATAATAACGTCATGCGCATGATGTATGATCGGATGTCTTATTTTAATTAACCGACAGTACATCAAGATGCGCGAGCCTTAGGGCGTATTAATAAAACTTGTCAACTGCGCCACCTAGTATGCCACAGAGGTAAAAAAATGAACATGTCGTATATCAACTCTTACCTGAACTTTATATAAACCACATGTGTTTTTAACTCAAATGTTTTAGCTTTTCTCGCACTTCATGTGACCATGCCCTATAATAAAATGTTGCTTTTTATTATTCAACAAACACAACAGCGTGAGCAAGATAGCTTTATCTCAAAGAGTTGAATTTCACTATTCGTAAAGTATATCTTTACAAGTATTTCATTTTCTTTCATTTAAATCGTACATTTTATGGAAAACATTATTTTTATTGTAGAAATTTGTAACTCTATGTTTTACTTCAAATTATGAAATATTTATGACATTTATCTCTCTTAATTATAAAGCTTTACAACGATATTATTTAAATTGTTATTATTTTATAAAGACTTTAAAGGAAAAGTAAGTAAAATAAGATTTCTCTCCATAGATTTCACTAGATACACAGTACATCGCTGTTGGGCGTAAATTAATTCGTATCTTTTATTTATTTACTTGATGCGCTCCCTAAGTTAGATAACATCGAAACTACGAGTTTCTTATTGAATGTTGTAAAAACTTGATTATCATGTTAAAATAAATACCATTAAGAGAAGCATCGTTTATCTGATTTTTAAATTTAAATTGTAGTACCTGCCACGCATTTTTAATGTCAATGCTGTATTATTATTTTAATATACATAATAAAAAGAAAAATAAAATATATAAAAATATGAATATAATAATAATTATTATTTTGTATAAATTTATAAAAGATCTACTTTCATACGCAGAAATTGTCAAATTTCTCGCTTTTTAGGGTCCGGTTTTGGCCATTTGGCTAAATTATAATTTCGTCACGTCCGTTTGTTCGTCTGTCTGTATGTTATAGCCACATTACTTACTTAAAGGAGCAAAATTTTTGAAAAAGGGTGGTTTTTTATACTTTTGGAGTAATTAATAAAAAAACAAATGCATGAGAACATCTGTAGGCAGTAGTTACTAACAAGTATAAATTAAAAATTTTAAAAACCCACGACCATCTTGGACCGATTTTCATCAAACATAGCCAAGAAGACTCCCGAAAAATTCACCGTTCAAACAAAAAAAAAAACAAAATCAAAATCGGTTTATCCGTTTGGGAGCTACAATGGCACAGACAGACACACACACAGACACGTCAAACTTATAACACCCTGTCGTTTTTGTGTCAGGGGTTAAAAAATCTTTCTTACATAAAAATATTCACATACATAAGTGTAGTAGTAGTGGCTTAAAGTCTTGCTACATTTTAGCTTATTTGCTTTATACTACGTATTACTAACAAATGTTTCAAGTACACTACTCACCGTGGAAAATGGCAAGAATGCGTATGTAACGCTGTGGCATTCTCTCGTCGTAGTAGGCGGAGTAGAGTGACACTGATGTTGCTTTTACCCTTTGCCATACTGTTTTATGAACACCTCGGAACCAGGTATTATTCTGAAATAAGATACATTGCAAAAACATAAATTTTCAGATATTTCATGTAAAAACCTAGATTTCTTAGTAAATTTAAATTATGTTAGGAATTTATTTATTATGCCTTTTATTCCACTCTTAAAGCTTGTGATACTGTTTTATAAAAAAAGTGGGCAAAGGTAGATAATAGACATATATCAAAATAAAAAAATATAAACAGTTCATATCTTTTTTCTCTTTTTAGGATGAAATGAGACATATCTATATACGTATATAAAAGAAAGTTGGGTTTCTTACAACACTTATAACTCGAGAACTGCTGGACCGATTTATATGATCTTTGTTTTGTTGGATCTGTATTCACCCCAAATAGCAGAATAACTATTAAGACATCGGAAATATGGACAAAATTTTTTTATAAAAAAAGTTTATTCCATACTACGCGTCAAAACATACTTAGGGACGAACTTAAGCGAAGCGAGGGTGAGTCGCTTGTATATCTATGTAATATATCTGCCTCAGAGTGCACCACCATCAATAAAGGTTATACTTAACTTATTAAGTGCTTTGGTCATGAAAATTTAAAAATTAGGGTTAAATTATTATATAATATTATATTCAGTATTCACAAATTGAAATTTGTGAATATTGAATATATTTATCTCTCTATCTGATTGGACTGATAAAATTATCTATCATGATATTATAATCATAATATTATATATTATCTAATTTTCTATTTTCATGTAGTTCCTAATAAAATATACACACACATAAATCTTTTTAAATATTATTATTATATTAGTCTGTTAGTACTAATATTTTGCAAAAGTGCTGTTGCTCTAATTAAAATATTCCAGTAATAAGTGTTTAATTTTGATATATGAATAACTATGTCATAGAATTTTTACCCGAAATTCAAATAGAAATACCTAACTAAATTATATTAGATACGAAAAGCGCGTTGAAGTCTAAACGGTCGACGAACAAACCTCCCACGGCAAAAGTAAAATCAAGTAGGGAAATAAGTAAATTTATTCTTGTAAGACGAAAATACCACGCTTTGGTCGCAATTAGCACATTAAAGCTACTGCTATTATTCTTTAAGTTTTTTAAAGTTAAATTCTGTTGCAAAACTGGAGTGAATTATTATAATGATATAATGAGCAATTTGGCATATATACGTTACTTTAAAAAGAAGCAATTATGGAATACTGCATGTATAATTTTATTTATTGTTGGTTAAGGTTAAATATAAATAATACTTGTATGAAATTAGTAAAAATATATTTAAGTTGGTAATTATGGTTCGCTTATATATATATATATATATATATATATATATATATATATATATATATATATATATATATTTGTAATTACAATGTATGTATTTCTTTTATTGTAAATAAATATATAACATTTCTAAAAAAATATTTATGTATACGTGTATCACCTCTAAGGCCTTCTACCGCCGACTGCACTCTTCATTAGCTTACACAATTCGTTTAGAGAGGAAATTCATTTTTTTAAATAACGACATTGAACAATTCTACTCAATCATATAAATTGATTTAATTAAATGATTCTTAAATTTTCGCAATAAAGTGAAGTTTTTAAATTGCCGGGCTTAAAGCGAGTTAAGCTTTGCAAATAAATCGTGAGCTAGTTGAGCGTGATTAGCTATTGTGCTTTCAAACTTATTGACGTATTGTGTTTTATTTGCTTCCTCCATTGAATCAGCTTATTTATCAGAATTTAAATTATCAACTACTATCTAACTGCTGAAAGTAAATGGTAAAATTAAAATCATAAAGAACTTGTCTTGGTTTTATTTTTATATATCCGTTGTTGTTAAACATTTATACGTGATAATTAAGCGATAAATTCTGCAAATCCCTGCAAGAGTTAAGTACTAATTGGTTAGAGTATACAGTACAAACTTTGAGCCACAGGGTGCATACTTGTACGTAGGATTGAATTGTGTCCATAAGTTGCCTTATTACGCGCATCGCGTGCTTCTTTTATATTATTTCTGAGAATTTGTTTCCATGTTCTTTTTTTCGCGTTCATTCAATTTTATGGTTCACGTTATCTTGTAAAGATCTTAATCTTTCCTTTTTATTCAGAAAATGATATTTAGCACAAAATAAAAATTGATCTTCTAAAAATATGAATGAATGCGTCTGTTTTATAGTGAATATCAATATAAAATTACGAATTATATTATAGGTGCTAAGGGAAATAGTTCTAGAAATAGTTCAGGTTTGTACACTAAACATTTTTTTAGAAGTAGGATGTAGTAGAAACCAGACATTTTTACTTATTAATAAATTTTGTCACAATATGGTTGGGTAGATGCAAAGATATGGCTTGAGTCGGTAGGTCGAGTACCAACAGTGCGGAGAAATGTAAAGCGGGGGCGTTTAGTGATAATTCAACATTCTATTTATCTAAAGTATATTTTACAATCTACCTAGCACTTTTTAAAAATTGAGTCCAATTAAGTCTATGACAGATTTGTCAAGGGACGTGACTTAAGTGCCGGTCACGTTTAAAAGTTCACAACGACTCATTGCCTTTAACATTCATTGTGGAAGTTTGATGACAGTTATGTTAGTTACTTATTGACCGAAATTAAACAATAAACAACGTCTAATTATAAAATATAATGGAGAACTTTTAATGCTAAAGTATTACTGAAATACAATTTTTGTTCCTTAAAAAAATTAAAACCAAAGAACCCAAGACCGACGTTAATGATGTAATTTTATATGAACGTGCTCGTTTCTAGTTTTTACACTTTTTGATTCTCCTTGATTAATGGAATATTACATTTGTAAAAAAAAAATGCAGGTAATAATGCTTAATAATACGCGTACGCAAAGTACGTGGACTGATTTCACACGAATCAAATATCAACATGTAATATATAATTCTATTCGCCTTTAATGCTATATAATCTTTATCCAACTTGATCTTGCTCAATTACCTTATGGTACAATGTAAAAAATTGATGTGTTTCATCGGCATAATTACTTAAAGGGTAACGTTCTCACATTAAAAGAATTTAGTCAATTAAGTCATATTGTATATTCGAGTATGAATACTCTAACTAAGCTGTAACAGATTTGTAAAACCAGAGAGTATTTATGATATCACTATTCACTACATATTATAAAAAAACTTTTTAACAAAAAAATAAAAACCGACTTCAAACAAAAGCACTAAAAAGTAAAAAATAACTGATTGGTAGTTTTCATTTACTATACATACCTAATCAAATATTTTCGAAGTCGTTTATTTTTCCCTTTTTAGTGTAGACAGTAGTAGCATAGTAAGGATTCTAACGTGTTAGGCTTGTCAAATCAAACAAAATAAGCCCAAACTCAAAGTATCTACTATTAGCCGTTGAAGAGTTCCACCTATCCACCTTCTGGCCTTGCCATCAGATCAGGTCAACAACACCGAACCACTGTACTATCAACGGAAATAGAAATACTTGCAAAGTTTCAAGTCAATATGACAATTAGAAGTAGGTTAAATTCATCATTAGTTGTTTTTCCACCCTTAGGGGTGGTATTTTTTTTTTGAAATTTAAATGGGACTAATCTGGAAGTATACCCTTTCAAACAAAACAAAAACTGTCCAAATCGGTTTATAAATGACGGAGTTCTGAGGTAACAAACATAAAAAAAAAACAAAAAAAAACATACAGTTGAATTGAGAACCTCCTCCTTTTTGAAGTCGGTTGATAAAGTCCTCCGCTGCGTTCGTCTTTCTGTCTGAATGTGATAACCTCAAAAATTTTGAAACGGATTTTCATACGGTTCTCACCAATTGATGGAAAGATTCCTGAGGAATTTTTTGGTGTATCCATTAAGGTTTTGTATAAATTAGCTAAAATATGATGATGATTGTTGAAGATGTCGGAAAAAATCATGCCGACTGGGAGCTTTAGTGGCGTGCGCACGTAAACTAATAGTTATATCAAAACAATGTATAATAGCATTATTCTTCCTAAAAAGATCTTCCTATTAAACTGTAGCAACGCTTTAAGCACGTACATATACGTAGGGACGCACCCGAGCGAAGCTAGGGTAAATCACTAGTTACTTATTTATAAATATTACCTATTAATATACATACCTACGAGTACATAGCGATCGGTTACTTAGTATTGTAAATTGAAATATGATTTAATTGAATACCTAACTGTATTCAAGAATATTAAATAAAAATATTGAATTATAAAAAACTCATATGTTAGCATAAAAAGCTAAATTAAATCAATAACAATACAGTAATTTAGAATTTTTGTGTGTAAGCGGTGCTTATTATGAGCTTATTTACATAATATATCATTAATTTGCTTTTGGTTGCTGCTTCGCGTACGTTTTATATTACCTACCACAAAATTATAACAAGAATAATTGACTATGATATGATTATAATTTTAGGTTTACTAAGTAAGAAATAATTTAGTAATTAAATGTATTTACTTAATTTTATATAATGTAATTATATAATATCTATACCGCTTGATACATTTAATTGTATCGAAATTTGTATTGTACCGTTCATTTTTTAAATTGATATTTATGATAGATATTAGATGTTACGAACATTTTTTTTATTTCATTGGGGAACCAAAAATCAAAATAAATTCGCGAAAAAATCCGAAAAGATAGTTTTATTTAAAAAGAACACTTTTGTTATGATTAATTTTTTTTATCCTTTTAATCGCGGATTACTCGAGAGCATTATTGGATAGGTATAAAAAATATTTTTAACTAATTTGGCTTTTCATCAATGAATCATTTTGCTTTAAAATACAACTATACAGTTTTCGAAAGACATGTTAAGTCCGCCAACCTGCACTTGACTAGCGTGGTGGACTATGGTCTGATCCATCGTATTAAAGGGAGGCCCGTGCCCAGTAGTGGGACATTAAAAAAGGCTGAATACACATGCAAACTTTTTCCTCTTTTATCCTTTAAACCTTGTACAATTTTAAGCATAGATTTATTAAAAGATATCATCAAACGTAGTAGGTCAATTTAGTTACCTTGATATGAAACTTTAAATAATATTAGGCATATTATACTATTCTTTACTATGATAGAGAGTTGGTCGCTTTTACTTTTAGAAGAAAAGCTTCGTATAAATAGAAAACAGTAAATCATTTTGCAATGCCGCAAGAAGTTGCTTCGTTAAGGATAGGGTCAGGCACGTTTCTCGGTTAGAAATAGGGACTTGACCATACCGGGAAGAGATAATCGATTTATTGTCCTGCCCGACCTCTGATCTCGGCATACTTGTTTGCATCATATATGGTTTCCGATACTGTTTAAATATTTAAGATAAAGATATGAAAGCTTATTTGGTTTAGCTTATATATTTGCTATAGTTGGCAAAGAATTTTAAGCCTGGCATTTAACGATTTTACATCTTTATATATATAATTCTTCTGTGAGTGTGTATGTCACTGAACTTCTCTCAAACGACTGGACCGATTTTGATAAAAAATTTTGCGTGTGTTTAAGGGGATCTGGGAATGGTTTAGATTTACAATTTGAATAATAATTTAATCAAAAAAATTATTAAAAAAAGTTTGAAATTTTCAAATTAAAGACGTGTAGACAGGACAACGTCTGTCGGGTCCGCTAGTTAATATATAATTTACAAACTAAAATCTTACGAATTTGTTGATAATTTAAAATAAAAGTTAGGTATCTTACTTTGTTTAGTAGTTAATATCTATCTATACTAATATTATAAAGGGGCAGAATTTGTTTATTTGTTTGTTTGTTTGTTTGTTTGTTTGTTTGTTTGTTTGTTTGTTTGTTTGTTTGTTTGCTTGTTTGTTTGTTTGTTTGTTTGTTTGTTTGTTTGAACGCGGTAATCTCAGAAACTACTAATTCGATTTGAAAAATTCTTTATGCATTAGATAGCCCGTTTATTGAGGGAGGCTATAAGCTAATATCATCCCGGCAAAATATACGGTTCCCGTGAGATACATTTTTTTTGTCTAGAGACTAACCTGAAGCGAAGCGAGGGTCAGTCGCTAGTATTATACACATCCCACAGGTATAAACAGGTGGTTAGTTTTTGAAATAATAAGTAATTTTCTCCTTCTTCCTTCTAATATACAATTGCGTGGTATGGAATAGTAAAAGCAGTACCACAATAAAGCAAAACCAATAATAATGCCAAAAACTGTACCGTTTTTAATAAGCACCTATAATTTCAATTCCGACAAATAAAAAAAAATGAGGTTGAGTTTAATTTTGAATATTCAATGGGTAACTTTGAATTCATTGCAATTTTATTATACATATAAATTCGCGCCTGAGGGTCGTAGTGTAGATGATGATATTATGTCTTCCTTAATAAATAGGCACATAACAACAAAAAAAATCTAACTTATTGTATCAGAGTGTATTTAAATTTTAAACAAACATTAAAAGAAAAACTCCAAACATAAATAGATTTAATTATTTATTACACCGCACCGTGATGTTTTAAATCACTGTTTGTGAATTATATATTCAATTACAACTGTACAAATATATTATGATGTTACGTGAATATAATTTTACCGCGTACATACTAGTAGCCACATACATTCCCTATGATGGATATGGTCACCCGACGTAATGGAGATGCGCGCACGCACGGCGGCAGCGCCTTTCTATTAGATATCCGTGGATATTGATTCCGATTTATTTCACCTCTGCTATCGAATAGATTATCAGTATTGGTATTACAAAACAAGTTTTAACTTATACCGAGAACTCCATGCGCTATTACCGGACTCATATTATGTGATTTTTTTTTCATATGCTTGAACGTGGTCAATTTAATATATATTTTCAAAAAAAAACGTATATTTTTTACAGTTTTGATATATTGTACATTGCATAGTTTGACAACGTAAAAGTAGGCAAAATAAAACTTATGAATTTTAATAATTGTTACTTTACGAAAAATATTAAGATAAATGATTATAAATAAGTTTCTTCGAGCTTTATTGTACAGTGTAGGTACCAACAGTTAAATATTATTATACAATTTTTTTAAATACTCTTAAAGGTTTATGGAAATAAATACAAGAAAAAGTCTATAATTTAATATTCAATCATTTTATTCTGTTTTCAACCGACTTCAAAAAGGAGGAGGTTCTCAATTCCACTGTATTTTTTTTAATGTTTGTTACCTCAGAACTCCGTCATTTATTAACCGATTTGGACAATTTTTGTGTTGTTTGAAAGTATATACTTCGAGATTGGTCCCATTTAAATTAAAAAAAAAATACCACCCCTGAGGGTGGAAAAATAGCTAATGATGAATTTAACCTACTTCTAATTGTCATATTGACTTGAAACTTTGCAAGTATTTCTATTTCCGTTGATAGTACAGTGGTTCGGTATTGTTGACCTGATCTGATGGTAAGGCCAGAAGGTGGATAGGTGGAACTCTTCAACGACTAATAGTAGATACTTTGAGTTTGGGCTTATTTTGTTTGATTTGACAAGCCTACCACGTTGGAATCCTTACTTTGCTACTACTGTCTACACTAAAAAGGGAAAAATAAAAACTTTAAACTTTTTAACAAAAAAATAAAAACCGACTTCAAACAAAAGCACTAAAAAGTAAAAAATAACTGATTGGTAGTTTTCATTTACTATACATACCTAATCAAATATTTTCGAAGTCGGTGTAAATAAAAACTACCAATCGGTTATTTTTTACTTTTTAGTGCTTTTGTTTGAAGTCGGTTTTTATTTTTTTGTTAAAAAGTTTTCGTAAAGATAATGTAGATAAGCAATTGGAAATATAATATAAAATAGGAATATTATGTGAATCCATACTAATATTGTAAATGTGAAAGTGTGTTCGTTTGTTTTTTTTTTATTTGTTTGTTTGTTTGTTTGTTTGTTTGTTTGTTTGTTTGTTTGTTTGATAGATTGTTTGATTGTTTGTTTGTTTGATAGATTGTTTGATTGTTTGTTTGTTTGTTTGTTTGTTTGTTTGTTTGTTTGTTTGTTTGTTTGTTTGTTTGTTTGTTTGATAGATTGTTTGATTGTTTGTTTGATTGATTGATTGTTTGATTGTTTGTTTGTTTGTTTGTCCTTCTTTCACGTCGAAACGGAGTGACGGTTTGGCGTAATTTTTTGATTTGAGTTTGATTGGAGTTGGAGAACTGGAGAGTGACATAGGCTTTTTACCGCGGGAGATTATCTAATTCCCACGGGAAAACACGTTATAATATAATCCAAAAAATATTTATGATCAGAATTACTTGAAACTTGCTATTAATGCTCTTCAATAAAATTAAATAAATACGTTTTAGCATTTTTCGAAATTCATCTTATGGGGGTAAAATAGGGGATGAAAGTTTGTATGAAACTACCTTTGTAGAGATTTTTTTGTAGTTTTAGCGTGAGTGAAACCGCGGGTTCTGCTAGTATTTTATAACTATTAAATTATTAACAAGTAAAATCGCATGATTTTATATGTCATTTTTAGAACAGGCGTGTTATATACTTAAATATTTATATTGAAACATAAAAAAATACTAAAACATAAGCCACAATGCTAGTTGCGCCGTCAAAGCTTGGTGTCCACTCATCCGTACGTCTTTTATGGTCTAGAATACATTATGCAATTTATGCATTTCTATGCTGCATTTGAAATACTAAGCGGCCAAGCAGGAAGTGAAGGTGAATAATAAATACATTTGCGAAGATGTTCTTATTCAAGTATTTTCTCACTTATTCTTGTTTTAGCTATTTGCATAGACTATATGGGAAAGGATGGAGTGTTAAGTATTGTCAATTGCAGTGTCATAAATAAGTGCTAACAGGTTATTGTTAGATGTGAATATGTTATTAAAATAACACATGCTACATAGATAGAGGAATAACGAACTCATATTTAGTATATACATAATTTATTGTTCTGTATAAAAAAATTTTTTTTTTACGCGACGATCTAAACGAATCAGTAGGTATTAAGAGGGGTACGGGTTGGTGCTTTATATTCTTCATAGTGCACATGAAAATAACAACATATGCTTTTTTCCAATAAAAAAATCTAAAATTGTAACTAAGCCGAATCTGTACATTAAATATTTTTTGTAAAATCTTATTGAAATAGACTTTATTATCGATACAGAGGCCGAATCTATAGTTTTTTAAAATTTTGTCTGTCTGTCTGTTACCGCATCACGGGAAAAGCACTCGATAGATTTTGATGAAATTTGGTATGATAATAGCTGGTTATCCGGGTCAACATATACTTTTTATTGCGGGAAAATATCTCATCTCTGAGAAATCTATACTAAATGTTAAAACGTAAGTAGGGATGGACTCGAGCGGAGAATATAACTATAAATATAAATTACCTATTCTCATCATTCTTATTTACTATAATCCGACGGAAGAGGCTCATTTACATATTATTGGCACAATTGATATTCAACGATGTGCTGTAAATATATGTATATGTTAAACAGATATTGTTATTAGTTTTTATAACTATATGAACCACTTTTCTCGTATGCTATTAATAACTATACGGCGTATCATTAAATAAGTAGTATGATGGAACGTTGGTTTTTGTATTTTTTAATATAGACGTTTCTTAACCTTTGAATTATATTATAAAAAAATAGTTCCGAAGTTCGATATATGGAAAAAAATTAATTATCTAAGAGTTACGATTTTTTTCACTTTTATTATATTATATTCTTACAATATGGGGTACTGTTGGAAAAGCAGGGAGTCGGTTGCAGGATACCGGTGATGGTCTGTCGAGTTCTGCTTGCTTGTCCTCCGAGTAGGCTACTATGGTGCGTATCGTTGGTGGGTTCTCTTGTACAACACGACGGCCCCGCCAACGCACTCCCGAGTGCCACTCATTGACACTTGCGATCCAGCTAACACAAAACACAGTGACACCGGCGAGTAAAAACTTAGTCACGCGTACAAATTTACGTGAACCACGAGACATGTTTACTATTTAATATTCATGTCAATATACAATATATTTGAATTCGTTTTTGCTACTTTTGTATGTTGAGGGGTCGTGGTTACGACGTCCCAGGGCCTGCTAAGCGCCGTGCGCATGCGCTCAGATCGCGCTACCATGGCGGACTGCGCCGGAACAGCTGATAGCGTATCAACAAAATGTACCTCGCTAATCGTTCTAACTCCTACGGTCGTATCTAGTTTTCTATACCAGTTCTGCTCGCCAACCCTCCTGTTCCATGTCGGGAGACGTTAAAGAAATTCTAAACATGACTGGTTTCTATAAAAAGCAAGGATGTTGCAATCTCACACGGAACAAGATATTTTATAGCAGGACGAGTCGTCTCGCTCATATGGTCATTTGTTTAATTGCGTAAGATCGATTATTGACGGCTTGCATTGTAATCGCTGGCTTGATCGTGCAGCGCCATAGATAGGGCTTTGGGAATAAATATATTTACTGAAGATATATTTTAATTATTTTCATTTAAATTATATTTATAAAATGAAATTCAATTAATTAGGTTTTAATGTTGATGCAAAATATGAAGGATGTAATGAATTGAAAAAGAAAATAATATTCACATTCCGAAATGAGACCATTTGAACAAATAAACTACTCATCAAATGTAGGGCAATATTAGAAAAGTATTGTTGAGCAAGACGTTATTATATATGACTAAATGGATATAATTATGTGTAGTATAGGAAATGTGTCTGAGTAGAAAGAGACCACTAAGTAATTTACAACGGAATACCGTTGTTCACTATATAGATTAAGATGTGATGAATTAGCATAGCTGCACATCGTTGATATTTTGCGTGATTATTAAAAAAATCATAATTCGATATACTTTGTAAATCTCAATATAGTAAGTACCATGGCAGAATAAAATTAGTTAAGTTTCAATAAATACTAAATAACTTTAGTATTTCATATAGTTGATACCTACTTAGAAAATAATTTGTCGACGGCAGCCCTTATAAATGTTACGAGTATTATACTTAATTAAGCGTTAGTTGATTAGTACACGAAAGATATGTAACGTATCTAATGCAAATGTCAGTCTGAGAGGAAACAAGGGTCTATCAAAGTAGAGTGCATATTCCACTTTGCTCAGCTGAGCGAAGATAGCATGCTATATAAAGTTAATATTAACATTTTTCCAGCTAAATAAATTCTTTATTTATAGATAAAATTTTAATTTTTATAATTATAATTTTGATATAAACGCAAAATTAACGCACAACCTAAGATTTCTTCAGTTATTCGTGAAAATGGTTTGGTCTTTAATCATACTTGATAAAAGCTTCTTCCTAAAAGCTGTTATAAAAAACTATTTTGATAATTTTTATTTAGTATCAATTTTTAATATAGAAATGAAGTGGAAAACAGTTCTTATATTCGTTCGTAATAGACAGGTAAGGTAAATGACTTGGCCTCAGGAGAAGAACACTAATTGCTAGAATAGTTTAAATTTAGTTTTATCGTAATGAGTATACTGGATGTTTGTTAGTATTGCTATAGTGATGAAATGCCGGCGAATGGAACTATAAATACACGCGTATTTATCACAAATCACTGCAAACTATTTTTATGGTATATATTTATATGATATATTTATATAGTTTGTAATTGGTTCTTTCTTAACTGTAGGTACTAGGTATAGTAAGAATCTTTAGAATTATAGTTTTAAAATACTTGAAGTATTTTAAAGTATTTTTACATTACTATGAGAAGAAACACAAAATACAGGTACAATACCTACAGTTTGCACTAAGTTGCGCAAACACGACACTATAAATATCAATCAATCAATCAGCCTATCGCCGTCCACTGCTGAACAAAGGCCTCCCCCAATGAGCGCCAACCATCCCGGTCCTGGGCAGCCCGCATCCATCCACTGCCAGCCACCTTTCTTAGGTCATCTGATTATCGTGCTGCAGGGCGTCCTACACTACGCTGGCCTAAACACGGTTTCCACTCTAGCACGTTTCGGCTCCATCGGCCATCAGTGTGTCTGGAGACATGACCGGCCCACTTCCACTTCAGCGAGCTTATTCTACGGGCGATGTCGGTTACTTTAGTTCTCTGGTGAATGACTTCATTCCGAAATCTGTCTGCCAGAGAAACTCCAAGCATCGGGCGCTCCATTGCTCGCTGAGCGACCTTGACGCAGTTTTTGGAAAGCTTCGTCATATTCTAGAGTCATCTATCCCACAATCCCTTAAGACTAGGGTATTTAACCAGTGCGTCCTACCCCTAATGACATATGGAGCCGAAACGTGGACACTCACCGTAGGACTGGTCCACAAATTCAACTATAAACATATTTATTATTAATTAATTTTAAATAATAGTACTTTATTTAAGTATACTTGTACCGCTGCTAAGGGCTGCAGTGTCATGTTGAAAAAGCTTATAGATGTCTCAAACACATATATGTACTTGTTACAGACAGTGCCTACCCACTATTTTACAAAAAATGATTTCAAAAATTCAAAAATGCCAATAAAGTACCTTACAATATTTGTTGATTTTTATTTCTAAACATTAAAAAAAGTATTATTTTTAAATAAAACTATCTTTTCGGATTTTTTCGCGAATTTATTTTGATTTTTGGTTTCCGACGTCTCGAATGCTTTACAGCAATCATGGTCACGGGAGAGACTAAGATGTTAGATGTCTCTAAGGTATTTATAGTTGTTACAGACAGCCTACCCACAAATAACAAAATGAATTCAAAAAAATTGAAAAATGACACCAAAGTACCTTACAATATTTTTTAACTTTTAACTTTAAACATTTTTATATAATTTTAATTAGTTTTATTATTGAATATGGAATATTATTTATTTAATTTGAGCTGTTAATACTATAATTATTACATTTCTACAAATATATTAATTAGTAATCTATATTTTTAGTGTTGCCATTATTATATTTATAACAATAAAGAAAAATCATTATATATTAATTATTTAAGCCACATAATTGATCTATGTGTAATTTGAAAAAGTTAAAATTTAATTAAAAATAATAATTTAAATTTAAATTTGTTATTATGTAAAAACAAATTTTAAGCAACACATTACTACATACATTTACAAATGAAAAAATGAAAAAATATTAATGTGGATTGCTGTCATTTTGATCTACACAGTAAGAACTTACTACATCTACCTGTCTGTTATATTTAGATGTATTATTTGATTTTATTACATTAATAACAGGATCCCATGACGATGGTAGTACCCAGCCATCTTCCCTATTGAAATTTGGATGTTTTTTAATTTCTATGGCTTCTCGAATCATTCAAGGGCGATATTGGTTTTCTTTCGCGAGGATTTGAGATCTATCGAAGCGAATATAATGGCTTGGGCGGTCCTGACTATGTTTGCAGACAGCAGATGATGATGATGATGTATGTTGCGGCGGTGCTTCACATCAGCTATGTGTTCTTTGACCCGGGTTCTAATGGATCTCTTTGTTTCTCCGATGTAAGAGAGCCCACAATCACAATCGAGCTTGTAAACTCCTGCATCTTGTAGAGAGATGTGGCACTTGACAGCTGGTAAGTGACTAATTTTCTTTGGTGGCTTGAAGTAAGTTTTAATTGAAGCTCGCTTTAGGATGTAGCCAATCTTGTCAGTGACTCCTCTCATGTAAGGTAGGACTGCAGGGACGCGCTCGACTGTGGCTGGTTTCACTCGGTCCCTTTGACGTAGACTCATACTGATAGGTACTTGAATAATGAATCTCACCACCGCCCTTTACAGTTAGCTACCGTGGGAAAATCTTTGTTTCAGAGGGCACGAGGGATCTGTGACGCGCAACACCTTTTTTTTTTTTTTTAACGTTGGGAAATGCATTTACGCACGACGTGTGGGTCTCACCGGCGTAATACAGCCAGTACTACCCACTAAAACCCAACAAAACCTTCCCCCGTCTTAATGGGGCGTCGCAGGATCGCTTACGCATTCAACTACGACGCCCTGCCGAAGCAGACCACCACAACCATGGGGTTGCTCCACAGTCCACTCTGCTATCAGAGAAGTACCAAGAGCAACCCGCATGGTACACCGCCCCCCGAAGAGGGCCACCTACCAACGCCCACCGAAGTGGGCAACCTTCCTGTGTGTTTCTTAGCTTCGCGCCCGGTTGGATTGCCGGGCACTACTGAGCCCCCCCACCACGACAAGGTGAACGCACGTTGGGGAGGAATGACGCGCAACACCTGGCCGGAGAGCTGCAACATGTCAAGCAAGTTCTGCGAAACAACAAGCTGCAAGTGCCGCGATCTCAGTGAGATTGACAGCCAGAATCGGTCAGGAGGTACAGTAACAGAATGTTTTTATAATTATAATGATAAGAATATGAAGTATACTTATTTGACAGTTTCATAATATACCTAATTAATTTATTTTTGTTAAAGATGCGTAACGCTAGTCAGGTAAACTAAATAATATTTTAATAGAATAATTTTTATTAATTGAATTAAAACGTAATTATAGACAGATGTGATGGTTAAATACGCTTATATTTTTTATCAGAACGATCGATTAATTTATTAAGTGTATTCCATATATTATTTCATATGGATTACATTAATAATGTATTCCAGTTTTGTAGCTTCCGCCGGACTATAATTGTATCATAATATGAAAATGCAATTATTCTATTTATAAACTAGTGGTGCACCTTCATTTCTCTATACATATAATAAAATTGTAACCAAGTCGAATCTGTATATTAAATATTTTTGGAAAATCTTATTGATATAAATATTATTATCGATACAGAGGCCGAATCTATAGTTTTTAGATTTTTTGTCTGTCTGTCTGTCTGCTACCGCATCACAGAAAAACCACTGGAGAGATATTGATGAAATTTGGTATGGCGATAGCTAGTTATCCGGGTCAACATATAGGATACTTTTTACCGCGCGAAAATGTCTCATTTCTGAGAAAAAATACAAAAAC